GATTTTTCCAGTGGGATATCACCATTGAATGTGTGCCAGAAAAAAATAAACTGTGAGATTGAAATTATCTAAAATGGAACAAATAAATGGAGAAAGAACTTATCCAGAGGAAAAGTTTTGAGTGTAGAAATAAGAAATCTAGGTGCAGATTATAATCTTTGCATTGCTTTCAGATCCTGTTGGTGCTGTGCTTTCCCGCTGCAGAGTGAGGTCCATGTAATGGTCTGTTTCACATACCTTCACAGGCAAGGATGTGTCTCTTCTGACAGTTAACAGGCTTGGGTCCATACAGCTGTCCCCAAACTAACAGCAAGTGCCCTTGCTTATCTCTAGCAATTCAAAAAACTGCCTTTTCCAGTGGATCTATTCATAGCTTGATCAAGATTGTTTTTAAAAGATGTATTCTCAAAAAAAAAAAAAAATCCTGAGAGAGACTGAGATGGCACACTTAAAAATAATCCAAGCAATTGAGCCTTCTGGAACTTTTTGTTTTGAAACATTTTTGCAGCATGCCTTTAGGTGTGGAGCTTTAATAGTGTGAAACAAGCTCGTGGAATCTAAAATCAGTACATGTGTCACAAATACTCAAGTATCTGGAGCTTTGTGTAGAGCATTTCCCCAAATTCTTTTCTACCCAATGCCTTCTGTTGGCATAAGTGACATGACTGCCATCCTGTCATACTCTGCTCTTTGAAGGCAGGTCATGGATTTTCACCTTTGTATCCTCCATAGCATAAGCACTCTGCTTTTTGAAGAATAAGTCTACGTGGCTATTTGTTGAAATCAGTGTTATCAGCAATTTTGCTTTGTATATGGAAGTTCTGCTTCTGCCCTTCTCTGTGACCTATGAAAGTCACTCAGTCATGTTTGACTCTTTGTGACTCCATGGACTGTATAGTCCATGGAATTCTCCAGGTCTGAATGCTGGAATGGGTAGCCATTTCCTTCTCCAGGGGATCTTGCAAACCCAGGGGTTGAACCCAGGTCTCCCTTATTGCAGGCAGATTCTTTACCAGCTGAGCCACCAGGGAAGCCCTCTCTGTGACCTGGGATGTCCCCCAAAGACTGACCCCAGAAGGATATCTCACTTGGTTTCATCTACCATCTTCACAGCACTGCATGCACTGGACTTCACTGGCTCCCCTCTCCCCATCAGACCACATCTTTCCTGTATCCTGAGCCATCTGAGAAGCTTTCTGTGAAGTGTTGTTAGAACATGCTGCTCTATGAGAATGTGGTGGTTGCTAATGCTTTCACTTTTTAATTCTCCCAGTTAATATAGTTATAACTAGTTACAATAATGTCGCAACAATAACAATAGTTACCATTTATTTAAGAAGTGCCTGGCACATAACAGATACACACTAATTATTGATATTGTAATCACCAGTGACAATGACCATTGTTATTAATAACAGCAAAATTATCATATTGAGCTCATACTGCACCAGGCTGTTTTTCTCTTGCCTATCTCAAAGAAGATAATTGGAATTAGAGTTATTTTGTGTCTGGGAGTTACAAGTCACTTAATTTCTTTTTAAAAGCATACAAACTGTGTATACAGGGGTGTGTGTGTGTGTGTGTGTACATGCACATGTGTTTCTCTTCATTTCAAAGCAGTTCCAAAGCTTTGTAGAATGGCGGTTACGTATGCAGGTTTTGGCATCTAGCTGTGCTTGTGCTTAGTCACTCAGTCGTGTCTGACTCTTTGCGACCCCATGGACTGGAGTCTCCACCAGGCTCCTCTGTCCATGGGGATTCTCCAGGCAAGAACACTTGAGGGGGTTGCCATGCCCTCCTCCAGGGCCTGGGCGCAAATCCAGCTTTGTCACAAGCTAACTTCTGTGATCTTTGGCAACTTACTTAACCTTTCTTTTTAAAGAATAGCACTTTCACCTTTGTAAAAAGGAATAATTATAGTATCTAGCTCATAGTGTTGTGAAGATTAAATGACATAATGTGTGTCTGTTGGGTCATACAATAACACTAGTATACATTGCTTTTCTTTTTATTATTACTGTTATTTTATATTTATATTACTGGATTTATATTTATAATTTTTATATTTATATTACTGGAAAATAAAGAAAAGGAAAAAAGAAAATAGTCACATACAATTCCATTTTTATAACCATTAGTAACATCCCAGGCTATATGCTTCAGATCTTTTTCTATTTATAGATATGCCTATGTTCATAGGTGCCTCGTTAGCGCAGTAGGTAGCGCGTCAGTCTCATATAGATATGCCTATGTTCAGTTTTTGTAAAATTAGAAATTATTATATATCACCACTTTATCAGTTTACTTTTCTGTGCCTAATATACACTCTTATATGTTGTATTGAGTTGCATATTAGTTCATTATATGTGTGTTCTGTAATTTATTCATTGGACATTTAGATTTCTTTGAATTTTTCACTCATGAATACCAGTAATGTGAAATAATCTAATTACCTTTTGGGTTGTATTCAGATTAATTTCTTGGCACTTTATAGAAAATCATTTAATAAGCTGTAGATATAAAACATTTAATACTTTTAAATAAATTGACAAATTGGCTTTTATAAAAACTTTAATTTTATTTTCATTGATAGTATATGAGGTTTCTAGTTTCCAAGTAACCTTGCCAAGCCAGTATAATTTATATGTGTGCATATATCTTATCTTACCCAATCTAATGACTTCTATTGGGCAATATGGGGCAAATTGGTTTAATTCTGTGCCTCAGATTCCTAACCTGTAAAATTAACTAACGAGAATAGAATTCAGAAATACAGTCACAGGTTTTAAAGTTGATATTGATTCCAGAGCCTCTCCATGCTCCATACTGGAAGTGTAGCTCAAATGAGAAAAGACTGTAGTGAAGTTGGGTTAACACCAGATGAGGCTGAGGGGATGATTGTCAGCAAGCATGACAGAGGGTGCTGTCATGACTGCTCAGAATGTCTCAGTGTTTATCAGTGTTCATCAGACATGCATATTCTAATTCAGAGGGTGATGTGCATAACATATATAATTAAAATCTATTTTATTTTATTGCCATCTGCTTTGCTTTAAAATGCGTGCTCCATAAGGACAGAGATCTTTGTCTTATTTGTTGATGCATTTTAAACACCCAACACAGAGCCTAACACACAGTAAAGTTTCAGTAACAAATATCTATTGAATAAGCAAATAAACTGAATGAAGCTACCCTATACCTTTCCAGAGGCTTTACCCCCTGGTACCCAGCAGAATGCCCTCCCCAGGATAACTATAGATGAGTTGCCATGACTGGGACCTCTTTCCAGAAACCATTGCTGTGTCCCATGAAACAGTCTCTCTCAGATATGTTAATACTGGCAGACTGGTTAAGATCCAACCTCCCCTTCTAGAATCCACATACTTCACAGAAATATTGGGTCTTTCTACTCAAACTCATGTTGGTTGTGTTAATAGTTCAATTCAAGAGGAGTGTTATTTCCAAGTTCTTAGGGACACTTTCATTGCTGACCCTTAGTACTATGTAGAATTACCACTTTATGGACTAGTTGAGAGAATATATGATATAACATATAATGTGAAATATAGAACTGTTCATCTAAGCAATATGCTGTGATGGTTAAAAACCCAGGACCCAGAGTCATATTTCCTCAGTTCAAACCTGGATTCCACAATTTAATAGTTGTGTCAACTTCAGCAAGTTACTTGATCACACAGTGTTCAGTTTTCTCATCTGTAAAATGCAGCTAGTTCCTACATTATAGAATTAATGTGTGGGTGAAATGAGTTAAAACATATGAAGAAGTAGAAATAGTGAATATTATTACTATTATCTGTAATAATTGCATTGAGAATTTACTATGTGTCAAAACCCAAATTTATATTATTTCAGATAGTCTTTAAAACAAATCTGTAGACTGACCATTATTGTTATTCATAACTCATGAATAAGGATATTGAGGTTCAAAAGGTTTTAGTAATGCTCTAAAATCACATAGCTAGTGAGTGGTGGAAACTGGATTTAAATGCAGATGTGTATGAAATATTCTCTCATGGAGAAGTTTTTCTCAAGAGAATTAAAATATCTACATTCTCACTGACATTACAATTTCTAATATCTGATTTCTAGTATTTTTAGTCATGCTTACAACCCTAGAACATTTTTCAAGAAACTAGCTTTAAATGAATATGACTAAGCAACCATCTGTGGGTCTGAGGGTCTATAGTTTCTAAAGACTCTTACAGTCACTTTTAGTGATTCAGCTGTGGTCCAATTTACATGTCTCTGTATTTCCTTTACTAGGACTTAGAAAAACTCAGTCAATTAAATAGTTAAACAATTAAAAAGCTATAAGGTGACAAAAGATGGCCAAAAACAGATAATTTGCATTCCACGGCACTGGATTGTTAAATATATTATAATCTCAAGAAAAGAACAGCTTTCCTTGAAGATCAAAATATAATGATTTCAGGATTCATTTTCAGCAATGTGTTGAAGTTACAGGCACTCTAACCCAACAGTGATTCTGTGGGTGTGGAAGTGCCCTGATACCAGCAGTTGTAGAGATTCATCCATTGTAAAGTAACTGGTTGACCAAGTGCCCTGTGAGTGGCCAATATCCTCATCACAGTAACAGACTTGAAATTTGAACCCTTTTCAGATATCCTAGCAGACAAAACAATAAAACTGAAAAGTAATCCATTTTAAATGTCTGTGCACCTCTGTATTTGTGGGCATGATTTGCTATGCCGTGTTTCATGGATAATTTTTTTATATCCTTGAAATACTTGTTTTCATTGAAGCACACTATAAAACGTTGTGCTATCTTTTGCCAGGGGAAGGAGTTGTGACATTTGGTAGACGGTGTCCTGAGAACTAGCATGGCTACAAATTAGCAGAATAGCGGTAATTTGTACATCGTGCTTATTCAGGAAACCCATTAGAATGTTAACTCTGATGGCATGGGTTTACACAGGATTCAACTTGATGTTTGAAGATCCTATTTTTCTCTTCAACAGGTTAATTATGTATGGCTTTGTGAAGGCTATGGTATATGCTGACCAGCTGAAAAATGGAGATTTTCATTTCACTGACTGTTTGTTCTTCGGTTCACTGATGTCTGCTACAGATCCAGGTAATTGCCCAAATAATATGTTTTCTTTTTTCTAAGAGTCAAACATTTAAATTGAATTTTTCTCTAAAGAGCATCACCCAAGTCAACATAATAATTCCTTATTCCTTTTCACTTGCAGCTGACATATCTGCTAGTGATTTTAAAAAGCAGGTGAATATTCTAACAACTCTCAAAAAATGGTTTTCAAAGCAACTTAAAGTAATGGGGAAGACTCTTTAAAATTCCCCATTGTTTGTTTCCCTAGAACATGTAGCCATCTTGACTTATGGTTTTTAATTCTTCTCTATTTAACTTGTCTTCTTTCAAAAATGCTCCATTGCAGTGGTCCCCAACCCTTTTGGCACCAGGGACCAGTTTTGTAGAAGACAATTTATCCATGTACCAGCAGATTGGTGGGGGGGTGGGCGGTAAATAGTTTGGGGTTGATTCAAGCATATTACATCTATTAATGCCACCACTGATCTGACAGGAAGTAGAGCTCAGGTGGTAATTTGAGCAATAGAGAGAGACTGCAAATACAGATGAAGCTTCATTCATTCAACCACTGCTCACCTCCTCCTGGGTGGGCCAGTGCCTAACAGGCCATGGACTGGTACTGGTCTAATGGCCCAGGGGTTGGGGACCCTTGTTCTATTGAGTTAAATGGTAAAAAATAATTTTGAAAATTAATTACTATATAATGTTTCAAACATATTAAGAATAGGGAAAATAGTAAAAAAAAGTTGTCTTAAGTGTAGTCGCTCAGTCGTGTCCGACTCTTTGCGACTCTGTGGGCTATAGCCCACCAGGCTCCTCTATCCATGGGATTCTCCAGGCAAGAACACTGGAGTGGGTTGCCATTTCCTTCTCCAAGAGTTGTCATATACACTTCACATTATCAAATTATGATAATAATCAAATTTGGCCGAAATGTTTTATCGATATCTTCCTACATTCCTTCTTACTATGACTGATATATATTAAAACAAGTCTCAGACATTGTATCATTTTATTTGCAAATGTTTTGAAAAATGACAGTTGTCATTATGAAACCTAAAAATATTAACAATCTTTTTTAATATTATCAAAGTGCTATCCTCTGTTCAAAGAGGCAGAATTTTCTTTTTGTTATTATCTTTATTAGTTCATGTATAAATTAGTCTGTACAAATTAGAACCCAAATAAAGGCTACACATTACAATTGATGGATATGGCATCTAGTATTTTTTTTAAACTATATGTTACCCTTCCATCTTCTATTTTTCTTGTCACTTATTTATTGGAAACAGAAAGGCAAATTGTCTTGTGGTTGAATTAAATATAATTACTTGAAATGTTCCACTAGCCTCAGGATTTCTTGTAAACTGATGGTTAAATCTAGAAATTAGATCAGGGTTCATTTTTTTGGCAAGATTACAAGCTTGCTCTGAGTCTCTACAGAATCACATCAGCAAGCACAGAGTGTTTGGTGACCAAGCTGTCAGTCTGATCCATCACACTGATGAATTATCGCTCCAGCAAAGACCACCAGGACACACCTGTAGTTGAATAAGACATGTTTATTACATGTTATAATGAAGAAACTGCTCACCAGAGGAACAGTGGGACCTCTCAGAGGGTGTTAGAAAGGAATTGTTATAGGGTGTGGGATAATGCTTGGTGATTTTAGGGAGGGCTTAAGGTATCAGGACTTTGCTCTGGATTAGATGCTGTCAGAAAGCATGAGTGATAGGACATTTTAGTAAATCTTCTCTAGCAGGAGGAAAGACTGAATAGAGCCTAAGCCTACAATTGGTAAAGAAACAGCATCACTCATAATAGCCAAGATAGGGATGCTGCAGTTTGGACAGTGTTCATTATTTGTGCTTAAATGTGATTACCCAGTAGTCTTGTTTTTGTCTTGATTCTTTATGGTCACAGAGTGAAATTGTCTGATGTTTTGTGTGAAATTGTTTATACTCAACAAGAGAACAACAAGGCCCAGCTGATAGTAACAGGCCAGCTCCCACATACCAGGGGCTGCTCTTCTCTTTCTCAGACTAGCCCAGCAGCATTGGCAACATGTGGCACCTTGTTTTAAATACCGCACCAGAGCTACTGAATTAGCTTCTAAAATTTAACAATATCCTCAAGTGGTTTATGAATGCATGCATGCTTGCCTGCTCAGTCCCTTCAGTTGTGTCCAACTCTTTGTGACCCTATGGACTGCTGTCCACCAGACTCCTCTGTCCATGGGATTCTCCAGGCAAGAATACTGGAGTGGGTTGCCATACCCTACTCCAGGGGATTTTCCCAACCCAGGGTTTGAACCCACATCTCTTGCATCACCTGCATTGCAGGTGGATTCTTTACTCACTGAGCCACCTGGGAAGCCCCAAGTGATTTATATGCACACTAAAATTTGAAATTTAGCTAGTCAAATCAAATCCCAGTCATGGGGAAATTCTGTAATCAAATCCTAATGACCTTCAACCAGACCAGTTTACCTGCCTTCTGAGAAATCTGTATGCAGGTCAAGAAGCAACAGTTAGAACTGCATATGGAACAATGGGTTGGTTCAAAATACGGATAGGAGTACGTCAAGGTTGTATATTGTCACCCTGCTTATGTTACTTATATGCAGAGTACTTCATGTGAGAGGCACAAGCCGGAATCAAGATTGCCAGAAGAAATATCAATAACCTCAGATAGGTAGATGATACCACCCTTATGGCAGAAAGCAAAGAGGAACTAAAGAGCCTCTTGATGAAAGTAAAAGAAGAGAGTTAAAAAGTTAGCTTAAAACTCAACATTCAAAAAACTAAGATCATGTCTTCTGGTCCCATCACTTCATGGCAAATATATAGGGAAACAATGGAAACAGTGAGAGACTATTTTCTTGGTCTCCAAAACCACTGCAGATAGTGACTGCAGCCATGAAATTAATAGACGCTTACTCCTTGGAAGAAAAGCTATGACAAATCTATACATCATATTAAAAAGCAGAGACATCACTTTGCCGACAAAGATCTGTATAGTCAAAGCTATGGTTTTTCCAGTAGTAATGTACAGCTGTGAGTTGGACCATAAAGAAGAGTGAGTGTCCAAGACTTGATGCTTTTGAAGTGTGATATTGGAGAAGACTCTTGAGAATGCCTTGGACAGCAAGGAGAGAAAAACAGTCAATCCTAAAGGAAATCAACTCTGAATATTCATTGGAAGGACTGATGCTAAACCTGAAGCTCCAATACTTCAGGCCACTAATACAAAGAGTTGACTCATTGAGAAAGACCCTGATGTTGGGAAAGATTGAAGGCAGGAAGAGAAGGGGATGACAGAGGATGAGATTGTTGGATGGTATCACTGACTCTATGGACGTGAGTTTGAGTAAGCTCCGGGAGTTGGTGATGAACAGGGAAGCCTGGTATGCTGCAGTCCATGGGGTCGCAAAGAGTCAGATACCACTGAGTGAGTGAACAACAACTAATTTTAGCTAATGACCTTAGCACCCATCAATGGTTATGCTAGTCTAGTATGTATTAGTGGTTATAATCTAGTGCTGTGTTAATTCTATCCTACCTTTTTGCATGTATTAGCTGGTACTCTCCCAAAAGAAGTAGTTCTCCAGATCAACTCTTTGAGTGCCTGTGGTATTATTTAAACAAAAAAATCAATAAATTATTGATCTTTGTATTTACTAATTTTCAAAATAATGAATTGCTTCTCTAGCATCTCCCACATATGATCAAGGAGGTATATTTTTTCTTTTCTTACTTTTTTTTTTGCTTTTATTTTTTAATTAATTTATTTATTTTAATTGGAGGCTAATAACTTTACAATATTGTAGTGGTTTTTGCCATACATTGACATGAATCAGCCATGGATGTACATGTGTCCCCCATCCTGAAGCCCCCCTCCCACCTCCCTTCCCATCCCATCTCTCAAGGTTGTCCCAGTGCACCAGCCCTGAGCGCCCTGTCTCATGCTTCAAACTGAGACTGGCGATCTATTTCACATATGGCAATATACATGTTTCAATGTTAAAGTATCATATCAATACATGGATTTAAACATAGTTGATATGTTCCCATCTACTACAGTAATTACACTTTTTGATGATTAGAATATTCCATTTTTGACAACTAGGGGACTCCAGATTTCTCCTACATCCGTTTGCCATAAACCCAAGTCTTTCAGAGATTTCTTATTTTGGAGCAGGACTAGACATTCCAACCTTATCTTGTATGTTTCCTGTACCCTGATGTGGAAACAAACATATCTCTAAGAAATCTTGCTTCTTTATAAGAGGGAAATTTATTTAGAGCTTAAAATGTGGGCACTTAGGTGTTTTCATTGCTATTGGATTGGTCATTGTTTCTAGATATTTTTATTTGTTTTGAAGGAGAAATAATATCACAAATTCATATGAATATTGTTAGTTTCAATTTACATTTATTTAACTGCCTTGAATTTACTTTGTATTTAAATTTTTCTTCTGCTTCTTTTCTTCTTTCTATTACATTAATATAATTTCTTATGTCTTTTAAATATATTTTTTCAAGGTCATAATATACATTATCACTAAAAGTATGATTATTGAAAACTGCTTAAATTTCATTGCAGTTCTTTTTAAACTTTATATATATGCCACTAGGATGAATAGCTAAAAATTACTCTGTTTTAAGAGTTCTTAAAATAATCCTCTATGTAGTTAAGCCACAAGTCAAATATACAATAATGTTCATTTTTTTCACTTTGCTTTTAATTTCTGTTTTGAAATTAGATTAAATATCTATAGAATTCCAAAATGAAAACCAAAGAAAAGAAGAGAAATCTAGTTTTTATCCCTGACTTCTCTACTCCAATTTTTCAGCCATTTTGGCTGGTTTTTAGTTTATTCTTCTGCTTGAAATCTAAGCAAATAAGCATGAATACACCCAACCATGCACACATGGTTAATCACCTTGCTGTTCTTTAATTAGTAGTATTTTGAAAAGTAATGCATAGCAACATATAAAGAGCTTTTTCATTTTCTTTTATAG